TATTGAAATGAAGAAGAGGGAGGGGGTATTTATAGTGTTAGAGAAGGTTAGTTTTGTAAATTGCAAGTGTAACGGCTATTTGTGCAATATGGCCGTTGGTGGTCATTGGGGGTGGGGCCCTCATTTTAAATTTTGAAAAATCTTGTTTTGTAGTATATATCGTATACTAGTATAGTATAATATATATATACTCAATCTTAATTTTCAAGTTACATCATGCCTCGTTCGGAAAGAGTGCGCTTATTTGTTTCACACTACTATGAAGTGCTTGAAGAAAATGAAAAAGGCCAAATATTAAAATGCAAGAACTATGGAAGAGTCTTAAATTTTCGTTCAGGGTGTACCACAGGCATTTTAAGGAGGCATATAACGTATTGTGTTGATGGTATTTATCCGCAAATTCGTCTTTAAGATATTTCAACAATTTGTGTTATTTTAAAATTATTAGACGTATTTATGCTTCATGTTGTACTTTCTTATTAATTTATTATGCATGGCAATTTAGTTTTACTATTGTTTTGTTATTTTACTTTTTCGTCAAGCACTTTAATAATTTGATTTCTACATATATATTACATATATATTATTTATATAGTCATGATATGGTTTACAAGAAATTACCTTTTAAAAAAAACCCGAAAATAAAAAAGCCCGTTAGGCCCGCTAAGCCCACGAGCCCGGCCCATTTAGCCCAGGACCATATGGGCTTAGGCCTGTCACGTGCTGGTTCCACCCGTTGAGCCCACAAAGCCCGGGATCGTGAGGCCCGGGACCGCCAGAGCCCGGAACCGCTAAGCCCAGGCCCGTTTGGCCCATTTAGGCCCGGCCCCGGCCCAGAATACAGCACTACATCTGCAAGTGAAAGTAGTTCTATTCTTGGGTACACCTATATTTTAGGAATTAGTGTATAACACCGATCTTTTATATTATAATATATATTTTCTATAACACTTTACTATAGCATTCAAAAAATATCGGAACAAACGTGATCATTATAGAATTGTTTGACTGTGTATATGGTTGTTTTCGTTTCCTTTCTTTCTTTTTTTTTTTTTTTAAAGACGAAGAATATTTCATGAGTTCTATCATTTCACATCAACCGAAAGCTTTTAGGATTTTTAACTTTAAAATATTAGTGACTGCAGATATTTATACCGTTACTCCATATAAGTTTTTAGGAATATCATATATGAAGGACAAACATAAAACAACCCTTGTTGTCGTAAATTAAAGAATTTCCGCATAATTCAAACCTATAAGATATTAAATGCCAGAAAGATATGCTCTTTCAGTACGTATATATCTGAGGTCGATCTAGAATGTGTTTGGTTTTTTGGCTTAGAGTGAATGAGAAACAGAGGAAAAATAAAAAATTAAATTTTCTTCCTTTACAATAAAATAGCATGGTCTAGCCAGTTTTCAGATTGGTCATTTAAAAATAGTCAGTGTTTGCCAAGTCATTGAAAAATAGCCACTATTTTGCTGCAACAGAGACCGGTCCAGCATAATATACTGGAGTTCGGTGCACCTGTGTATGAACTTCCAGCATATTATGCTGGACCGGTGTACTTTGCTAGCTCCAGTATAATATACTGGAGACTGGAGCACCAGTGCTCCAAACTCCAGTATATTATGCTGGACCGGTATATTATACTGGAACTCCAGTATATTATGCTGGAGTATTTTTCTGGATTTTGAACAGTGTTTTCGTTCAGATCTATCTTTACATGAAAAGTGGCTAAATTTCGATTACCTTTGAAACTGTGGCTATTTTTGAATGATCACTTGTAAATCTGGTTATTTTTGAATTTCGTTATCTCATATTGGAGGAGGAAAAGATAGTTGTTGGGTTTATAAACAAATGGGCTTCTTTTAACTCTTAAAGACTTGAAAAAAAGGCAAATCTGGCGCCATCACGCTCAGATTGATTGATTAACTTTTTGGACCAACAAATATAAGTTTATTTGTTAATATTAATTGTATATTAACATTTTATGAACGTTTTGTAACGATTATTTAATTTTTCCCTCATTTTATTTCCAGCCGGTTTTGCAGAATCAGCCACTAATAAGGCCGTTTCAAAAATAGCTACCAGAAAAGCTACAACTTTTGAGTTACACCTTTTTGAGTAACTCAACATGTTGGCTATAAATATCTGGTTACTCAAAATTTTTTACAAAAATTCTGAAATGTCTTCTTCTTTTTTGCATTGTTTTCTAACAAACTAAATTAGTAAGTGTGATTTTCTACTACCATTCGTGTTCGCTAGTCACTGGTGTATTTGAAGTACCGTTACACCAGTGTGGTTAATCTGTTCTATTCTGAAAGGAAATAATCATAAATCTTGGTACTGGGAGGGAATTAAGTTCTTTAAGAATACACTGTGAAATCAGCGGGCTCGGATATATTTTCTTCAGCCTTTATGTTTCTGGCTTTGGTTAACGTTTCACAATTTATTTTTGGAATAAAGAAAGCTAACAAAATGTAGGATATTCTCTGTTGCTTACTGGTTCTGTATTCATCTTATCTCTAACTCGAATTATTCTGGTAGAATTTGCTATCTGATGATGTTTGACTTGGAAAATGTTAAGCTAGATTTCCAGTTAATATTACCGAATATTTCCAAAATATGCAGTATTTATATTCACTAAAAGTTGCTACTGAGTTTCCATCACAACTTATAGCATCATCTGGAATATATGGAAGAACCAAAAGCAATATTTTATATATTAGGTTTCAACTGGAAACTTATAGATTACCTTGCCTTGAAGAACGAATATTGGAGGAATCTGCATCCCAAAATGCCCGGATTAAGCACTTCAACATTTGTTCTCGTATAAACAAAGAAGAATTTTCAATTTTTGTGGTCATTATAACAGTCCTCCTGCTGAAAGTACGTAGCATCATGGTCTACCTTTCAATCCTTCAAATGTAATGAAAGGAATTAATTGATTGTTTTGTAATAGTAAGTACTACTAGTAAGTGGAGGCAGGATCTCCACGAATGGGGTTCAAAAATTTTTTTTTTAGCTAGTGAGAATTGAACTCATGACCTTATGTAGATTTTGAACCCCCTTGACCACTAAACTATACTTTTGGATTGTGTTAAGGGTGTTCAAAACTTAATATATAGAAATAAAAAACAAATTTTGTCTTATATATACAGTGTAATTTTTCGGCGAAGGGTATTCGAATGAACACCCTTGCGCCCCCCTAAATCCGCCCCTGCTACTAGTAACTAATTAACTAAAAGCCTTTGGCAGACGAAATGAAAATAACACCCTCGGTAAATTTATGTAAGTGTGTTTGATTAGACATTACTTGCTATCATAACTTCTTTATCTTCTTTAGTCGAGGATCTATCAGAAATAATATTTCTGCCCTATTAAGATAGGGGTAAAGCTGCATATATACTACCTTTCCCAGACCTTACTTATGAAATTACATTGGATTGTTATTATTGTATTTGACTAGACACAAAACTTAAGAAATAAATAAAGATTCTTGATATAAATGGAAAGAATATAATTAAATTATTTTTAAATTTAACAAAGCATTTATATAAAACAGATTAAAAGAAAAGGTGTCAGAGCCAATTACATGTCCTTTGATACACTAACAAATATATATGGAGGACACGTCAAAGGTCCTTGGGGAAGTAGAAGATAGGCTTGTGAGAAAAAACTAAAATTCAGGCTCTCGCTATTAAAGTGGACTGATTAGGTAGGCCGAAGACTATTAATTGACTATAGAATATCTTGTGGTTGCAAACTCATACGTCAGAAGCCCATGATAAACCATAATCAACAACAACAAATTTAGAGGTCGTTTGGTTGGAATACTATTTATATCAGGTTTATGTCGGTATAAGTTATATTGAAATTATTGTTTATTCATTATTTGATATGTTATATTAAAAATGACAATTGCATAACTTCTAAAAAGAAGACTTTATACCTTCTTATACCTCATACCAAATGACCCCTTAGTGTAATCTCCCAAAAGAAGTATGAAGAGGGTAGTGAGTATATACCTTACCTTCCCTTTGCCGGGTAAAAACACTACTAGGTAGAAAGCTATTTTCAATAGACTATCAGCTCCACACAAGCATACGAAAACACACCAGTATAAAAAAGAAATAGAGTAGTGCAAAAGTTAGGAAACCAGTAACAACAACGAAGATAGTAAACGCCCAAAACACAAGTAACATCAGGTACTCATAGAATTCTAAGAATATGAAAATACTAGAATATCGCTACTACTACCGGCATAATCATCTCCAACGAATATATTAATGGGAGGAACAATTTTATTCTGACCTGAAAAAGTAGGAGTGCTGAATCTTTTCTCCAAAAATGAATGAAGTGAATCTCGAAACAGGCTGAATATTGCTGGACCATATTTTAGCAAGGATAAAAGAGCTTCGGACGCTTGTTAATTTTCAGTCCGCATTTATCTTCTTCTTTATTTTGCTGATCCGGTTAATACTTTTGTAACTTGCAATAGTTAAATATATTCCTGATTATATAGTATAAATTTCAAGGCGGGAGAGGTGAAGAATTAGGAATAAATAAAGGCAAGTGAAAGATTGATTTGAATGGCGGAATGTTTTTGTACTGTAAATTTGTGTGGATATGAAATTAGTACGACACTCATTGAGTCATGACTAGTACTCTATGCAAGCGTATGGTAGAGAGAGTTTATGGGGATATGCATAAAACGGAAGGGGGCAGAGTTTCAAAATCGTCACACGTGGAGTTTTATCAAGCGTTGCTGACTTTTGTGCTACCTATTTATTTTAATGAAAAGTCATCCAACTTTTTTTTTGGTAATCAAATTAAAAACTAGTATTAATTTTATCTAAGTATCAAATAAAATATTTCATTCTTTTTCCTTTTGTGATACTTAGTAGGCGTTTGGACATAAAAATTACTCTCTGCATTTCAAATTAGATGAGATACTTTCCTTTTTAGTCTGTTCCAAAATAAATGACATATTTTTAAATTTGAAAATAATTCAACTTTAAACTCTTCATTTTACATATTTTACTCTTAATGAAAAGTTTTTATAATCATACAAATGTCATGGCCCCCAAAAGCTTTTACCTTTTAAGTTTTTAAAATCACAAGTTTCAAAAGTCTTTTTTTTTTCTTAAACTTTGTACCGAGTCAAACTACCTCATCTAAATTGAAATGGAGGGAATATATTTTTTTTAAAAAAATAATACTTGGAGTTAAGTTAAAAAATGGTATTTGAAATTTGAAACTATGTTTGTGTAAGGCCCGTAAATTTTTTACCTAGAACCTGGGGTTTCGTGGTACCGAGGTAGGCTAATGTGTTTGAGGATTATGGACTGTTTGGGTTGTGCAATGCGTTAGGGAGTTGAAAGAATTATTTTTGCAGAACATGGCGTTTCTGCGGTCCACAATGCGACCGCAGAACCTCTTCGCGGACCGCAAATCGGCCGCAGAAGGCAACAGGACCTAAACCAAATTTGAAGGTCATTTTGTGGTCCATTATGCGGCCGCAATCATTTCACGGTCTGCACAATTTGTTGCAGATTTAGCATGAAGAATTTCGGAGGAAGATTTCGCGGCGCGTTATGCTACTGCATAATTGTTCTACGGGTCGCATAACAACCGCAGACTTGACCAAGCCAGCCCAGTTTTTGGGACCCTTTCTGCGGTCCATTTTGCGGGCCGCAGACCTAATCTGCGGTGCACTATACGACTGCAGAGTTGAGTTCGGAGGGTCCATTTTTTTATTTTATAACCCGACCCCATTCTATAAAACGGCCTTGGGGGTTATTTTAGAAGGTTCCAGCTGATGTTTTAGATAGAGGGGAGTGCTCTAGAAAGAGAGGAATCCCCAAGTACTTTGTTCATCAATCCTTGCCCCAAATCTCGAAAACTCAAGGGAATCACTCACTAGGCCATCACCAATCCGGGTAAGTTCTTGTCCTACATCATCCATGCAAGTTTGTTTTGGGTCTAAGTGGGTCAGGGAGTAGAAGTTATGGCATGCATGTATCGATAGATGGGTCTTGGAGGTTGTTGGATTACCAGGGAAGAATTGTTGGTTAATATGAGTTGTGGGTGAAGGAAATCCTCCATAAAAGAACCTTGAAATCATAATGCACACCTAGTGCTTTTTAAAATGCTTAAAAAGGCTGAACCCATAAACCTCTTCCTAATTATGGTTCAACTTTGTCATGTCTCTAATAGATTGAAATCGCTAGGATTTTCGGAACGTTGTAGTAATTTAAGGAAAGCTCAAGCGAGCTATGTTTGCTAAACTCCTCCTGTAGAATCGAATTCCATGATGTCAAGTTCCAATTATGATCGGCTCAAGTTCTCATTTCTCATGTTCCGAGTCCTTCCTAATAAATTTGATTATTCTAAATAAGTGTTGTGTTGAAAGATGTATTTTCTCAAAATGTGTTCCAATCTTTCTTATCATACCATGGCCTCCCCCAAGAATATAACCAAGTATGACCAATATATCAAAGGTGTTATGATTTAAGATCATATTTCAATTGCAAATTATTATGCTTAATTGTGGAAGAAAAACTCAATGTGCTTAAGACTCTTATTTATCATATATATATATATATATAACTTAAAGTCTTGATTAGAAATACCTTGTATTTGATAATCCATAACGATGCTTGAAAAGTAAAAGGGGTGAGTATGAAACATGAAATACGGCCAACGTGCCAAGAATGAAATTACACTTGTGGCCAATAGTGCCGATGAAATGAAGAGGATGTGTGAAAGACTACAAAATGAATTGTAACTCCTTTTTATAATAAATATTTTGGGAGTATCGTTTAGTCACCGAGGAAGGGTAGGTTGAAATAACCTAACCCCGAAACTGCACGTGCCAGTATAGGAGTGATTGAGGGGTAAATCCCTGTAATGATGTGTTGAGATTATTCCCTTTAAATGGGATGAGATTGATGTGTTAAGACTATTCCCCTTAATTGGGATAACATGATTGCTGGCGGAATGTGACGTGATGTCGACCCACACGGCATTGTGGTGAAACGGCTTAGCCGATCGGGCTGAGATCGGACACCATACGGCGCACATGGTGGTGTTGTGATTGGATATCTTTAGGTGAGATGGCTTAGTCCATTGGGTCGTGATCGGATTCCGTGCTAATAATACGGTGGTATATAGGTACTAAAGATCTCCCAACTTAAAAATATTAAAATTTACTTGAGATTTATCTTTATCTTAACTTGACACTTTAATATTATTTGTGCCTCTCATTGATTTCCATGTTTCTTTCTTATTGTACTGCTACTTGTTCTATTGAGAGGGTGTTTAGTCTTACATACTAGTAATATTCCATATGTATTAATGTCCCTTTTACCGGGGGCATTGCATATTTAGTGGATGCAGGTGGTTCCACAACAGGCGACATCGATCAGTGATAGCGGTGCATCCTCTTCTCAGATGACTTGGTGAGCCCCACTTCATATTCGGGTTTTATATTTTTTGCACCTTATGTATAGTGTTTTGAGGTATTGTCAGACCCTTATTGTCGGCACCGTCATATTACTCTTTTGTATCAATTAGAGGCTCCGTATACATATCATGGATTGTATTTTGATTTGGGTAAGTCAACTTGAAAAGTTGTATTTGTAACATATATTTCCACTTCAAAAACTATGAATGTGTAATGTATTTTGGAAATTGCAAATGATGTTACTAATGGTTATGAAATTGGTATTGTTCATGTAATCTTCTCATTTTCTAATTAAGAGAATACATATTCACTTTATTCATGGGTAAGGTCGGGTAGAAAGCATCTAGTAGGCTTGCTTGACCGGGTATTTCGGTTGAGCACCGGTCGCGCTCCCCGAGGTCGGGGCATGACAGTTTGGATATGCATTTTACTTGAAAAATATTACAGTTTTGTGCGTGGGGAAAAAGTTTTTATGAAATTTTTGAAAAACTCATTTTCAAAAAATTTCCAAAATCTTGCAAAACTTTATGGACAAACACATTTTTTGAAAAAGAAATCAAAAAAAGGAAATATATGGACAAAATGGGTCCTTCAACATCTAGTTGAGTTACTTTTAGTTTGGTTACGAAAAATAATTTAGTAATTTTCTTGAAATTAAAGTGAAGTTGATTAACTTATCCAGAGTAGATAAGTGAGCCTAAAGTTTGAAGTTTACGGAAGTCCGACAAGATTCAAAACTACTTTAACTCAATAGACATAAACAAATTTGGTTTTCCTAATTCTTAAAGTAATTGTACTTCAATAAAAAATGGAAAACTACAACAGTTACGATTAATCTTCCTATAGCTATCAGGAATGTATCTATTTCCAGGAACCAGTTCGGGTTCATGCCGGAGCGTTCGATTACAAAAGACATTCACTTTGTTAGGAGATTGATGGATCAGTATAGGGAGAGGAAGAAAGACTTGGATATGGTGTTCATCGACTTAGAGAAGGCATACGATAAAGTTCTGAGGGAGTTTTTGTGGAGATGTTTGGAAGCTAGAGGTATACTTGTTGCCTATGTTAGGGTGATTAAGGATATGTATTATGGATTAAAAGACCTGAGTGAGGACGGTGGATGGAGACTCAAACCATTTTTCGGTTTGATGGGGTTGCATCAGGGGTAGGCACTTAGACCTTTTTTGTTTGCCCTGGTGATGGACGTACTGACGCATCACATCCAAGGGAGGTGCCGTGGTGCATGCTATTTGCAGATGATATTGTATTGATTAACGAGACGCAATGCGGTGTGAACATACAGTTAGAGGTATATAGGCAAACCCTGAAGTTTAAAGGTTTTAAGTTGATCAAGACCAAAACAGAATACTTGGAGTATAAGTTCAATGGTGAGACTTGTAACACCCCGTAAATTTGAATCATTTTTGGATGCATTAAATGAGTATTAATGTGATGGTTATCAATTTGATATGATAATAAGTGTACGAGGCATGTCATAAGTGATTTCGGGTCCAATGAGAGACTTAAGAATAAGCCAAGTAGGAAAATTACATGATAGTCTAAAATTCCAAATGAGTGCGCACAAGACCTAACTTTGCACGAGCACATCTACATTTATATAAGGTTTTATGTGATACACAACCTATCAAATGAAAGATCTTGAAGTCTAGTTTCTAACGCATCAAGTCGTTCGTTATTTAGATATTCCTACTCAATGTTATGATCAAATTACCAAAATTAGACCACCCAGTTATTTTGGTGGACAGTGAAGCGAGACTCGCTTCGCCAGACCGGGCTTGGATCCTGCCTTCCCTTGAAGGTGCTGGACAGCAAAGTGAGGCTTACTTCGCCAGATCAGGCGCGCCCCAGCTAGGGTCTTTTTAAGCAAATTCGGGGGTTCACTTCCCTCATTTCTTTTGGACGAATTTTAGGGTTTTCTCCACTCTCTCAAGAACTCCAACTCTTCCCATCTTCAAGGTAAGCAATCTCCATTATCTTGGTGTGAATTCCATCATTTATACACTAGTATTGATGAAATCTACACATAAAATATTTAGATCTTCAAGAGATTTCTTCAAGAACTCAAAGGAATGTTTTGCAAGATTTCTTCCAAAAAGGTAATCCTACACCCTTAGACTACATGTATGGATTTATTAAGGGAATATGAGAATGAATAAGTATTGGAACTCTTGGTATAGTGATTA